TTTCTGCTGTCCAGGTACCTGGAGAGTATTATTCACCACTTGAGATCCAGCAATAGCTGATTTTGTCTTAGCTGTGGGTGAGTAGTCACTGGATGGATTCCCCTCCTTCTATGCCAAATGGAGTTAAATAATATTTCCTCATGACAGCTGATGAGATCTTTCTGTTCAATCAGAAATCTCTCCTGAGCTTTTCAGTTCTTTTTTCTGATTTTTTTTTTATTTATTTTGTTCAAGTATGTTACCCTGTTTCAAGTATTAATTATAATCTATCCTTGCTTTAGAAAGGGATGCATTGTAGAATTGCCTGTTCAGCTTAAAGATTATACTGAGGCTATGTCAATATTAAATCACATTTACATGTCCTTTAAGAAGGCCAAGTCTTTCTATGATTTTCTACTTTATAAATGAAGATTAAAGATTTGTTTCATGTTGCTTTGGAATTTGAAAAGTGTAAAGTCTGAGCTAGTAATGCTCAGTTCAGTGTTTTCATTGCTGATAAAGTTTCTTTTGCTCTTAAAAGTTTCTTTTCCCCAAACGAATTGCACTCATGTAATCATATGTTTTCATTTATGAATTTGCCAGGTGATGATGGGGCTCTTTCCTAGTCATAAGTAGACTGAAAAAGGGAAGTCAGACATCATGAATGCTGGAATTTAAAGTTAACTGCTATTTGGCTAATGGCTTTCTAGAAGCTATGGTTCCTTCCTTTCCAGTATTACATAGTGTAACTTACCTTTATTGAAATGGCAAATAATAATAACCTGCTATATGCTTTCTTAGGACCTAGGAGGTCTGAATACAGAAAGAAGCACCTTTTTATTTCATAATAGAAATTGTGATAGTTTTTTTTTTTTTAAATAGTTAAGACTCCCAAAAGTAGAGTTGTAGCTATCATCAAAAGCAATACAGAAAGCATTTAAGGATATCAAAATAAAGTTGTTATAAATATGACAGTAGGTAAGTCTTGATGCAACAGAAAAGAAAGATAAATAAACTTAAAAGGAAATGTTACAGCAAAGAAAGTACAACCACACTAAAGAATTACTAGCAAATATACTTAATTTAAGCTTTGAACAGAAGTGTCTTTCTGTGACTAAAAAAATAACGCAAAAGCAACAATTTACAATCTAGTAGTTTTAACAGAGCTCACTGAGAATGAATGAAAATTAATTACTACCTGTGTTACACTATTGGACAGACTTTTGCACTGAAGAGTATACTTTAGGTTTGTAGTTTTAAATCAGTTTTGGTTGGTAAGCTAGAGGTATTTAGCATTGCTTAATTACTGAGCAAATTGCAGCCTCTGGCTCTTTATATTTTAGTATGATAAAGTTTACTTTTTCACCTCAGTATCTTTGCAGAGTTTCATCTTGGCTTGTTAACAGTGCAGGCTGGGGTTTGTTCTAGCTTTGTAAAATCAATTGGGATGCTCTCACAGGCCTCAGCATGTGCAGGATCTCACCACTACCATAGTACTTCAAGCAGAGGTGTGCTGCCCACAAAAGCTGAAGGAGTGCTGGAACTCCAAATGCTCTGTGGTGACAGGACTTCATGGAGTCCAGGCGGAGAGAGAACGTCAATGTTCGCTGGCAGGGTTTCACATCAAAAGCTGGTAGTGTGACTCACTATTTCTTCCAAGTTCTTCTTTCCAGCTGAGAAGGCACTTCAGGACACCAGATGTACAATTACCATTTTTACAGGAGCTAAGCAGACAGTTTCTAACTTTCTAGAGCAGTGCGCTTCTTATCAATCACAGGCTTCCAGGCATTCACAAAATATTTTCTCTCTGAAAGTTTGTCAGATAAGCAAACCCCATGTACTATGGTGGACAACTCAGAGGCTTTTCCGTCCTCAAGGTTCTCTATGGAGAGGGGGTAGAGTGGCTCAGGTTTGCTAAATTGACAATTTGTTTTTCACACACAAAATCTTTGTCTCATATCTGGATCTGATGTGGGTAGGATATTTATCTATTTAGTAGAGAAACTATTCAGTATTTGTGACTCAGTAGCAAACAAAACTTAAAAGTAGTGTGAGGATTTATTTGGACTCTGTCTGGTGTGAACACTGAATAGAAGTTAGGGAGAAAGACAAAAAAGTGGCAGACTAAACAAATGCATTGTGAATGCAAAACATGAGATTGAACACATTCCCATAGCAGGAAGGAGGGAGAAATCAAAAAATAAACATAATGCACAGAAGGTTTATATTTTTATAGTAGTTCTGTTACCATGAAGATCTAATTTTAAAAAGCAATTCTTGAGTTTCAGCTTAGAAACTGTGTTGTGACATCTGTTGTTTCAAATTTTTTTTTAGAATTGGCATAAATCCTACAAAGTAAAGGATTTTAATTCAGGCCAGTGAAGGAAATAAGTAGAAGCTTTCCAGTTTCTGTCATTCAGTGCTATTGGAGAAGATGAGGTGCAGGTACATGCTTAGTACAAATTCGGCATTTGACTCAAAACTCTTCATGGAAAGAAATTAGATTATTTGATTATTCCTCTTTCTACTTACTTTTCTGTTCCCTCCTAGCTAAATGTTGATTCTAGGTACTTCATAAGACAATACCGTATGGAAAAGCTATAGTCGCTGTATAGAATTCCAAAATCACGTGCAGCAGGCATTCAAGAAAACTTCAGTAAGGTCTGAATTTTCACATGTGGTTTCCTAAAGGAGACAATGGCTACAAACACTGAAAATTCCCAATAAGGTCATGGACTTCCTGAATTCATACAAGTATTGAAGTAATGAGCTGAAGACAAAAAGAAAGTTAGAAATTAGTTGAAATGACTATGAGATGCTGTAGGAATAAATTACAGATGTTGTTCTGTAAAACCTGCATTAGGTGGGATCATGCAAATCAGCTTTCAATGGGAAGCTCATGTCTGCCACAAGCAGTACACTTGGCAGACTCAGCTGTAGCAAGTCGAAAGCTCTATACTGAAATAATTCCACACTGCCTTCTCCAGTTACCTCCTATTTTCCTTTGACTCTTCAGCAGTGTCCTGTGTCTTGATGGCAGCAGAAAAACTGACAGTGGTGGTATTGCTGTCTTGCCAAGACTGACTGACCGAGATTTCATTGTGGTACATTGTACGCATCTCATGACTTTTGTTTCTAGAGGCAGGGGCTATTTTTTTTCCTGTGTTCATATACTGCTTAGTACGGTAGCTTCTGATTGATGAGAGGGCCTCCTAGGTGCTGTAGTAACATAAGCAGTAATTACTAGACTTTGTCCATATCGTGCTGTTTCTCTATCATTATGTTTTTTCCCTATTATGAATGAGTAATGAATAATAAATATGTCATTGGGTGACAGAGGGTTCCTTTGCTTTTATTTTTAGTTCAAATATTTTTTTGGGAAAAAAGGCATAGAAGATGTCTCCATGCTTGGTTCACTGCATTTTGTGGCTCTTCTGAAAAGGACACAGGTGTCAAATACCTTATTTGTGTAGCCGCAGTGGCTGGTATTTAGTCTAGTTTTTGTAGTGCTGCATGAAAACTCTTGTGAAAAAGCCTATTATATGGAATATATTCAAATACAGGGCAGTCCTGGCCCTCTTGGAA